AACTGCTTGTGTGATTTGCTAAATGCTCTAATAATCCCTCTGCTTCTTCAAACTGTGTTCTTCATTAGGGCTTGGGCAAAATTTAATGATACAAATTCTGAGTCATATATAGGCTTGCCAATTTGCATTAATAGCTTGAAGAATCATTGAGAGCTACTCATTTTCTCAAATTAGCAAGTAAATCAGTGAATGTAGTAGAAAGAATGGAGTATGAAATATACTCTATTTGTTTAGCGTTAATTTCTCATTATAACTTTATATTATAGCAGTAAACATCTTGCAGTATACATTTGTAAGGATAATGAAATCTGAGTACTCTGTCCTCACTGCAAAAATTCTGATGAAATCATTGTTTGAAAATGAATGTTATATATCATTACAAAATTAATTTCTATTTTTCAGATGGTGCACAAAATCTAAACATACAGACGTAACATAATTACACAGCCAGGCTTTCGGAAAAAGCAAAATAAAGTGCATTTCTCCTTTTCCAGGCCACGTTTATATGCCACAGTCAGTATTTTTACTTAAATTCTGGACTGTGTTTATACCGTATGGGATCATAAGCTGAAGGAAAGTGTATTGAAATAAAAATTGCCCACCCCGGCCCAATAAACCCTCTGTATCCCGTTTCACATGCTAAAACACGGAGGGAAGAGGTCTCCTTTGCAATATGTCCATGGAGAATCAGAATGTCCAGAACCAGAATGTCATGGATTTGGTAGAAGACACTTTGGGGTAGTGAAAAAAAAGTCTAGGTGAAACAAGTTTTCTTCAATTTGCAGAGATCATAGAATTGTTTAGGTTGGAAAAGACCTTTAAGATCATCCAGTCCAACCATTAACCTAACCCTACCAAGCCCACCTCTAAACCAATTAAGGGGAGAGGAATAATTAATTTCATGTTTCCTGGCTTGGTGGCTGGATTATTTTTAATGAAAGTAAAACCTAGGAATCACTAAGGTTGGAAAGGCCCTCTAAGATCATCAACCCAACCATCAACCCAACACCATCATGCCCACTAAACCATGTCCCAAATTGCCACGTCTACCCATTTTTTATCTGGGATCTTGCGCTTTGAAATATCTCTAGAAGCAGAACAGGGAAACCAAGTATTGGCGTATGGCTCTTTGCAACTAAAAGATGAGAAACTCGGAAGGGGATTTTAGACTAACAAAAGTGAAGGAAACGAAGAGAAGGATATGCCTTTGTTGTGGGCATTGGCATTTAACTGCAGGACTGGCTGAGAGAGGCAGAAAGTTGCTGTTTGGATACAGAGAGACAGGAAGTTGCTGTTTGGATACAGACAGACACACACATCATAGAAACTATGGGAGATGGCAGGAGGCATGGAAGTCCTGGGGTCTGGTGGCCAAATGAGCAGGAAGAGCACCAGCAGGGCTGCCAGGTAATCCCACTGGGCAGAGCTCTGCCAAGGAGAGCGGTAATATTGGGAATCCTAAAACAGGAGTTTTCTGGCCAAGAGCCAGACGTGTTGAGGTCAGGAACACTGCAATTAGAAGCCCTGAAACCAGTTCTTCGCTCAGAAAGCAGACTTCACCCTGCCAGTGGAAAGAATCAGCCTTGACCTTGCCAGGGGGAGAAATTCAGGGAAAGCTTTTTCAGTGCGTCCAGTATAGGCAGTTTGGCGTATAGCCCTTGGCACGCTGTGGCAATTTCAAAAATAAGCCAGATCTTAAGAAAATATATACGGTAGTTTTAAACCATAAGTAAAGCTTGGGAGAAAAAAAAAAAAAAGGGGCCATGATTTTATGTGCAAGAATTTCCTTACCCCCCGATTGCTGTAGTTTCGGGTATGATGATAGCACGCGAGGAGGATATCCTTGATGTAATGGGCACTCTTCTGGATCTCTGTGTGGAAAAGTGTTTAGTACTTCTTGGTCCTAAATGGTCGTGAAGTCATATATGTATCGTTTATGGCCTCCTAATCCAGGATTTATGGTCCTGATCCTGTTCCAGAACTAGAGAGTTGAGTTGATTAGAAAGAATAAGATTCTTCAAAGCTTTTAAGCAAATTGGTTTACTCTGGCTTGAAAATTCTCATATTCCCCAAATTTATATTAGTCGGTGTGATCTTTGTGTTCATCCATGTAATAGTCAGCGCTAGAAGGATTTACAAGCAGTACGTATTACCATTTAAAAAACTTCGGTGTTAGACTTTAATATTAAGATACTAATGAGGCGGGTGGAAAATTACTATTAGTTATACCTAATAGGTTGCCATTTTGTTGCTTTCCGGAGTGGGAAGGCAAACCGAAACAGTGAGCCAACTCGGTTACCTGCAGTTTTCTCCGTGCCATTCCGTACAAGTGCAATCGAAAAGAAACCAATCTGTTCATAACTCCTACTGCCAGCTCCGTCCCTGCACTCGGTGATCCCCTGCCCTTCCGCACCTCCCTAATTACACGCTGAACAGCGTTCCTTCGTGTTACGCTGCGATGAGATCTCTTGTGTCTCCCTGCCGTTAAAGAGTTGTCCGAGGAGCAGCCGGGAGAGCAGCACACCCCGCGCCTCGCCGGCCTCCCAGCCCCGGGGTGGACGTGGAAGAGGCTGGCTCGTTTGCCTGGTTTGTGTTCCCAGTTTGCTGCCTGGTTTTAGCAGTGATTTGGGAGGAAGGAAGCTGCCCGTCAAAACGCAGCGCAGGCTGACCTTACTGTTAACAGGCTTTTCTTGATGTCTAACCTGAATTTTCTGTCCAGCAACCTTAGTAAACTACGCTCTTTTCTATTTGTTTTAGGTCTCATGAACATGCAGAACGGACCTTTACCCTTGCCTTTTAAGACTGTTATCTTGTTTTCCTTCAGTTTTCCCCTTCCAGACAGAACACCACCAATTACTAGTCTCTTCTCCCATGTAGTTAGCGATAGGACGAGAGGAAATGGGCTTAAGCTGCGCCAGGGGAGGTTTAGGTTGGATATTAGGAAATATTTCTGCACGGAAAGGGTAGTCAAGCATTGGAACAGGCTGCCCAGAGAGGTGGTGGAGTCCCCATCCCTGGAAGTGTTCAAAAAACGGGTAGACGTGGCACTTGGGGACATGGTTTAGTCTAGTCTACCCTTGATTGGTTTAGTGTGGACTTGGTAGTGTAGGTTAATGGTTGGACTGGATGATCTTAAAGGTCTCTTCCAACCTAAACGATTCTATGATTCGATGATTCTCAAAGAAAAATAGCTTCCCCAGGGAGATATATTTTTACGCCAGTGCAACGATTGTCTTTATTACATCAGAATGAGCTCATTGACCAGTGGCCCTCTGGTAGACCACTGTGACCTTCAGGTCCTTTTCTGCAGAATTCTTCTCTTAACTCTTCATTCCTAGTTTGCATAATTTGTTTTTCCTGCAGTAGTGGAGAAACTTGTATTTGTCTTTACTAAATTCTGTGATTCTAAATTATATTTCCAGCTCTTTTCTCCAGGTAACAGGAACCTTTCAAATTATGATCCTGTTGTGTGGTGTACTTGCAGACCATTTTGTTCATGCTGTCTGTAACTGTAATAAGAGCGCTCTATTCCATCCTTCAAGTCATTATGGAGAGTATTGGATAATACCTGCCAGAGACAGGCCCCTGTGCAAAGCCACTCAAAATACATCCCACAGTTTTGGCATTGAACTGCCGTTAACTGTTCTCTGGGTGCTGTTTTTTAATTATATGCCCCAAGGTTGTTGATGGAAGTGCCAGGATATTATGCAAAGCAGTATTAAAAGACTTGCTACAACATATATGACATACATCGTATGACACACACAACATAAATGATATTTATTGCCTGAACAATCTTCTGGATTTATAAATGCGGAGGGCGGTTGTAAAGACATCAGTTCGATGATCGACTGTATTATCTAGTGGCTGAAAAATGAAGCTTTCGTTTCATTAGGAAATTACTGGAACGTTCCCACAGCAAGTTTGCTAGAAAGAATAATATTGGCTTCTCTGAAACAATGTTCTTAGTTATCGCAGTATTTGCATTAATTCTGACCTCTTCTGTAAATGCACAAGCTTATCGTTCACTGTGACAGCACACGAGATTAAAAAAAAAAATTTGCATGTTTGAAGTCTGGTTTATGGTTTATGTTCTACCTAAAAGTGCCATTCCCAGACAGAAGAATGTTTTCAGAAGTATAGGTGATTATGTCCTCTTACGTTACGTGGTAATCTGCAGAATTTTAAAGAATTTTCTAAAGCCTTTTAAACAGTCTTAAAAACTCTTAGAAGAAAGTTATTAGGCAGGCAGACAGCTCACTTCCATGCCTTTCTGTCAATTAAAATTGTTTGCATTAAAGTATTTTAATGGGAAGAAAGAACTTATGTTTCTAATGAATTTGCCTGTAGTTTGACTAACTTAGAAGAATTTTTTTAAATTACTGTGTTATCCAGAGCAGATGCTTTTAAGGACTCTAGGACATTTTAATGAATGTTTGTAATTAAATGATAGATGAATTTACTGTATGGTCAGAAATGCAGTTGTTACTTTGCAAAGTTGAGTTCCTCTATGTTTGACGATTTGTAATGTTTTATGTATTACAAAATTTTATGTAGTATGTTAAGCCTTTGTCATCTCTACTCAGCTTGTCATGAGCTATGGACTTTATGGTCTCCAGGGGATGATGTCTTTGGTTAAGTTAATGTAATAAATGGAGGAAACTCTTGCTTTCCTGTCGTCTTTCATAAAACTTCAATGCCAACGTTACAGTCCCTGCACATTATCAGCAAGGAATAGCTGTGTTGATAACCAGCGTGTCCATTGCTTCCCTAAAATACGTGTCAAAAGAAAATGAGTGTGAAAGCATGTAGAGTTTTGTGGGTTTAAATGGCGTTAAACATTACCATACTAAATTAAAAAATACAAAGTTGTTCTGCTTACATACTTAAAACAGTTAAAAAAGCACAAATGCATTTTTAGCCATATATTTATTTGGGGTTCATTATCGTTGGTATGTTCTATTTGCTCATTACAATATTTTCTCATGTGTTCTTCTTAGAATGGCTTTACTCCTTTATATATGGCAGCTCAAGAGAACCACATTGAAGTGGTGAAATATCTCCTGGAGAATGGAGCCAACCAAAGCACAGCTACTGAGGTAAGGTATATTGTTCCTTTTTTACGCACAGTCTTATTTTCCTTTGCCTTTATATTCAGATCGCTTAAAGTCAGAACATTTTTTAAGCAGAGTATTTTGAGAACTTCAACACTTTCATTTCAATGAGTTGTATTTATGAATCTTTTTTTCTAAATGCACAGAAGAGGTGAAAAGTCAAGGGATGAAATCCAGCCTGATTAATTTGACAGCAAAATTTCCACTGACTTTAGCGAGCCCAGGATTTTCCCCTTCAGTTTGTGCCCATTTCTCCTATCAGATTCCTGGAGAATTTTCTGAAAAATGAGCGAGGTGTTGAAGAGACATCCTTAGGGCTGTAGAAATTATAGGAGGCCAAGGTGGTATTGTCAGGGGAATGGAGTGAATAGTAGATTGATCGTAGGCTAAGTGGAGAGGTACAACATTTTGTTTGAACAGATTTACGTCTCCGACAAAGCCAATGAAAACTCAAGCATGTAGGAGTGCCATCACCTGAGCAACAGGGCTACTTTTGTGCTGCTTTTTTATTTGCACTGTAAGATCTAGGCAAAAATGGGTGAATAGAAGATTATAGCATGTATCGCTCACTCTTGGCTGTGTAAGGGGCTTTCTGGGGAAGGTAGATTGGAGGCTTGTTCTTCCTCAGCTAGCTGAAAAGTGTGTGTAACATAATGGGAAAACCATAATTAGGACTATGAGGACTGTGTCCAGAAGGGTGTCTGTGTATCATGTAGAATCGTATAAAAAGAATTAGTATCAACAGTTGTTGAGAAGCTTCCTTTTAGATTGGGTCTTGAGATTTTAGATGAGAATATTTTCTGCATAGAGAGGAGGAGTGGGAAAAAGGCAAGTGCATGCACAAAAGCGATGAGTGGAGTAGGCTCTCGGTGGTGCTGAGTTCACAGAACCATTCAGGTAGAAGGGGGTCTCAGGAGGTCACTTACTCCAACCTCCTGCTCCTGTTTCCCCTACATGAGGAGCGATGGCAGCTGGACCTCCTTGACCAGCTAAGTTACTCTGATCCTGACGCTTGCCTGCGGCTTCGTGTAGCCTACAAATATTCATGGTTGTCTGTGATTAACGTAAATAGGAAATCAAACTACTAACAAGGATCAAAT